AGAAAGTGAATTTTTAACATGGACTAAATTTGTGTCCCAATATTCGGTCATAATTAAGTACTCGTCGTTAGAAGATCATTTCCTTTCATTCTACATAATTATCTAATCTGTCTCTGAAAATTTCTGAAAATTCTGCGTCTCAGTTCTTCTCGTATTCTGCGTCGTTGCTGTTTCAAATTTGAGGACGAAATCGGTCTGATTGAAATGAATTGTCGCGATATTGAACGCAGGATTCGCGCAAGACAAAGGTTTCGCTACAATTAGATGGGATCACGAAGAGGAAAAGAGGATTTTCACTTATGTTAATTCGATCGTACGGCCGTGTCGCCGCTTCCCTGCCCCCGTGCACAGAAAAATCTCGAGGAACAGCCATTCGTTCCACTCTCGAGACGAGTTCGCAGCTTGGCCGAGGATTCACCTACTTCGCGGCCTGAAAATCACCTCGGAATACTCACCGACCTCGTATTTCGTACTTCGCCACAAAAATATCGGACTTTTACAAACGCTGATCGAGAAGATCCTGCTCTTGTTCTCCATATTCCTTTTTTCACTTAATTTTCTTCCGTTTGAAAAAGTCTGAGAAACATAAGAAATATACAGGGAAATATTGAAAACGAGCTGAATGTTCTAATTATTTTGTATATTATACTGAAATTTACACTGAAATTTTTTCATGCGCAAATATTTATACGAAGCAACCACGAATGGAAATAAAATTTAGATCGACGTATATATAATTGGTCTGTTTCACTATTTGCTCGTTCGAAGACGAAACAAGGCAATGAATAAAAAGTAGGAGGATAATAAAAATTGTCCGAATTTTGTTTGATTTTGCGTTGAACGTATAACTGTTTAATTTAATTATGGATTTAACTGGATGGACGTGAAGAATATTCTTGGAATATTTTTGTTCAATGTCGAGTTAAATATTCCTGCTATCTGATGGTTCAAGCAGACGTATGTTAAACAATATTTGATCGAATGAGAGTAGAACGAAACATGCTGGCAGAGATTAGGAACGTTGTAACACTTAGCATTGCGCACTACTAATTATGCGGCGCGGTCGAGCGCGATTTTCATCGAGGAACGAGCAAATATCGTTCTCGATGTTTAGGGAACGATGGAAAATGTACCGCGCTATCGAAACGCAATTTCCGCTTCGATCGTGCAATATCAGTACTGTCTCATAAAGCAAGAAAATTCCAATTATCTTGCGATAACCATAAAAATTATCCTACAAATATAAATAACAAAAGTTGGAGAACTTTTAGCAAAAATCTTCGATTTATTGCAAGTTATTTTTCTCCCCAGTGCTAGAAGTCCCCAATATAATCAGACATCAAAAACAAAAAATCCAAAATCCAAAAATCACCGATGAGATTACTCTCAACGTACCGCTGCTTTTACATAATTAATCGAAAGCGAAAGATACGAGAATGTTCACGAGCACCCTAAATAGTTATTAAAGATAAAGTACACGATTTTCTTCTGTGCGGCCGTGATCCTAGCGATTTTTAATCGTCACTTTCATTCCCGTTCACGATCCGCGAAGCGTGACCGGGCTGGCTCCCGACTATTTGAAGCACCGTAAAATTCCCCTTCGTTGCCGCGGATCGGCACGCGGATTTTTCTTATTTCCCCGCTTTTACGGCCTCCCTCTTCCGCGTCGTTTCGTTGCGACGATACCTTCGCCGAGGTCAACAACAGCTTCAGATCGTTACCTCGTCGCCCTCGAGATATGATCTTGAAAGCCGGGGAGGTCTCTCCTACGCTTCGAATTCACCAGCTTCTCGTCGAGTTTGCATTCACGGATAAATAGCAGACGTATTAAGAAAAACGGTGGTTCTGAGGTTACGATGAATTGATAAGGAAAATAGGGAAATGGGTTTGTCGGGAATTTATACATAATTGACATCTATTAAGAAAATTGGGACAGAGAAATATTATTTATTTGTGTGAACGTATGGGGCAAGGCATATTTAATAAATATAAAACACGGGGTAGTGACAAATATAGAAGTAGTAAAAATGTACCTGAATTATAAGTTTTTTCATTAACTTTCAAATTTAAGCCATTAATACGTACATCATTACCTGTAGACGTCATGTGTCTCGAATATGCAAATTAACTTCGTCGTTATATTTCTGAAACGAAGGATTTCGCGTTATTTATTCTAGCGTAGCAGAATAGAAATTTTATCATTTCGTGATCTTCATTAACAAATCAACTACACAATCGAAATTTTTATGAAAATGACACTTTATCTACTTTAACATTCCACCGATAAATTTTTTAATACTGCCCAACTATAAAATTTCTCTAAAAGGTTCCAATACACGTACAGGATAAAAGTATAAAATAAAATGGGATTGTTGCGCTAAAAGATAAAGAGATAAAGTTTATTCGTATCTATTCGTTTCTTCGCGTGAGAACAACTGATATCGTACGTTTCGCTTTTAAATAGAAACGTATCTTGCACGGATCGTGAAACGGGGTTTTAGAGTAGTTCTGGTTGGTTACAGTAACCGATGAAAACTCTTGATAATGGCGCACCATCGATTAATCTACATAATTTACACTGTATTTGCATCGTGATGAACTTTCATTATCCCGTCGTTTATGGCTTTTGTCTTTCTAATTAAAACAACCATTACCTTTTCCCTCGCTCTGTGATATCGGTGCTAATTGTAAGTTGAATGGACTCGTAACAAAATAGGGTGCTTCGAGGAGAAAATTGATACGATCTTTCTCATTTCTTGCAATTTGATGTACGATAACACAGCATAACAATATTGAAGAATTATATCCTTCTTCTTGGGTTTAATGAACTGCTCGATTTCAATATTTTACAATCCTGTCAGAAAATGCAAGTAGCCTAAAATAATTTAAATCCAAGTTAACTATTGATATCTACGAGTGATCTTTCCGTAATTCAATTTTTGAGAAATACCACGTCCTCTCTGAAGAAAAGAAAGAAAGAGGAAATTATAATTTTGTCATTCAAGCTAAAAAAAAAAAAAAA